CCGATCAACCCCCGTGTTGTTCAAAATCCGGAGGAGGCACGAAGACGACAAACCAATGCCAGCTTTACACGTGGCGATGAGTTCTTGTGTCGGAATCTCCGTTTGCCGGCTCCCCATCAAGTTGTCTTCCAACCAAAACTCGTCACAGACAACTCAGGCCGTCAGCGGAGAGAACCTCTTCTCACCGTCTCGTTACCGGTAATTGTACGGCTGAGGAGTTGGTTCTCCTTAGATCTCGACCGTAGATTCCGATCTGATTTTTTTTTTTCACTTTTACTCGTACTTTCGGGTACGTTGAAACGAGCCAGTGTTGAAAGATAGTTACGTAGGGGTCCCACGCGGAAACATCATAGTGGAAATATAGGTAAGGCGTGGAAATTTGCGTACCAGCCGCTTTGAGTTTTCAAAAAGGTCCCTGATTTAAGCCAATATTACGGAATTTACCATTTTCCGTTATGATTTTCTAATATTTATTATTATTATTATTAATGATTAATAACTTATCTGTAAATCCATGGTCAAAGGTCAAACTTTTGGTAAGTAAAAATGAGGTAAGAGAAGGGAAATTAATTCTATTTCCTTACATTTTATATTACCATAATTTCATAATGGTTATAATTAAAATTGTACATCACATGTGACATATGGGGTTTTTTTTTTAATTTATTTATCGAATAAATAGTATATATATATTTTTTACTTTATGGTCGTAATTATAGTGGACAATCCCAAAAAATATGTTAATTGCATAAATATACAGCTCTTTATAATCTTATATTATAGATACAAATATATATATATATATATATAAAAATTCATAAAATAATTTTCAAGTGGAGCCTTAATTTCTCACGTTCACTATTGACTTGACTATATAGAGAATCTATCTATATTTAAATTAACATAATTATATATTTGACAATATAAAGAATTACCTTAAAATATTTGCAGTAGTTTTTATTATTTAATGAGAATTAAATTTTTACCATCTCAACTATATATAACACAATATTTTATTATATATAAAATATTACGGTCCATATAATATGGTGGTTTTAAATATAAAATTAATATTAATAAGGTAAATTATTTTTATATTGTTTTATTTTTTAAATATATCGTAATATAAAGGTTCGGGGACAGATGTCGATCTTGAGAGTACACGATGACGTGGCATTATTAAACTAAGGTTCCATTCGGCAGAGCAATGGCATTTCCGATATTATCTCGAAACACAAGGGCATATGTAGTGAACGGAAACTAGAATTGCTTTTTAAAACTTATTTAATTTTAAAAAAATCACAGTCAGTAACAATAGTAAACCCACTTTTCTTCTCTCTTAGACCCCGCTTCTCTCTCTCTTTCTCTCTCTGTTAGCAGTGCACTACTGAACTATCACATTCACTTTTCCAGACTCTTCACACCACACAACTCCTCTCTCTCTCTCTCTCTCTCTCTCGAACACCATAACTATTTTCTTCTCTTTATTTCTGTACCTTTATATTCTTCAACCTCTGGCTTTTCACGCAGGAAAAGGGTAGCGAACAGAAAGGTTAAGCATTAACCAGAGATCGTCCATGGCGGACGCCACGAAGCAGCATATCGCCGGCAATGAGGGAACCTTCTTTGTTTCAGAGATCAAGACCCTCTTCTCTATTCTCAAATCCAAGAGAACCATGGCGTTTGCCTACGGTGTCATGTTTGCTTTTGTTGTTTTCACCGCCTTCTTAGCCTTCAACCCTTCTCCCAACTCGTCTTCTCCATGGTTCTCTAACATCTTCTCTGTCGGCTCTTCACCATCTTCTGATAGATCTCATTTCTCTTCTGTTCTCTCTTTCTTCTTCCCCAACAATTCTTCTTCTCGTCAACAACGAGAAGCCGCCGTTTCTAATTCTTCTTCCATAACACAAACCAATTTCACCAGATCTATCTCCGGCGGGTCTGAATCTCCCCCCGGAAGTGAAACATACTCAGTTGCTAAAAACACTACATTCCAATCTCCGGTTAAAGATAATTCAAAAAACCAAACTCAGACCGGGAAGATTTCTGATAAACCCGTAGTTTTGCTAGCGAATCAGACCATGAATTCTTCCCGTGCCACTAACAGCCATTAGCTGTGAAAAATCAGACATAAACAGTCAAAATCCCACTAATCCTCCTGCTTCGAAGCAAAATCAAACCACGA